CAGGGAGAGATAAATCCTTGAAGGCATGGACTGTAACTTTATATCCTTATAATGAAGGACCATTCCGAATAGTGGGAATCTTAAAATATGCCCTCAAACTCACTGTGAGTGAAGCTTAATATGAATGTATCATATTGCCTCCTTTGAGAAAAACTGCCATGTGCCTTCCAGTAAAACCACGCCCCCTATGTTAACCTTCATAGATTAGATCAAGGACTACCATGTGGGCCAAAGACAGCCTGATACTACCTGGGCCAAAGTTGTCCCCAAGTCAAAGAAGCTGGTGAAAGCAGAGCTGCTTCCAGAGACACCAGAGATAACCCAAGAACCTACAGCCTTGCCTCTGTGCAGCCTTAGAAAAACCTTCCATTTCTTAAGGTTACCTTAGCATATCTATGTACCTTTAACTTGAACTAACACAGGTGTTCATGAACAGAATTCAATCAAAGCCATCCCTCTAAGACCTTATGTTTTCAGAAAACTCATCCTTAGTTCTGTAAAAAAAAAAAAAAAATCTGTACATACATAACAAAAATGATCTCAGCATACTATTAATAATTGGTGTTAATATAAATAATACTGTCAATAATCAAAGAATTTTGGAAACTCTTCCTCTGTTGTACTTTGAGACACATTCGAATCTCTCTGTTTTTGAGGTAATTGGCGAGGGAATACTCATTTAGATCTAAAACACATAGGGTGGTAAAACCAACTGGTGATAGCCATGTGTTTTTTGAAGATGGATGAGACTACTTTTGAAAAAAATGTAAAGTCAATATGGTATTAACTCAGTTAATAATGTGAATAATTATCTGAGTTTAGTAATGAGAATAAAGCATTTTTGTGTATCCTATGAACTAAGTAAAAAAGTAATTCTTTAGAGATATTCCAAAAATATTCTAAGCTGTGGTAGCACCATTAGCATTGGTGTACCCCAAAAGGTTACCACTTTGAAGGAAATAATCCCCATTTAGCAGATTAGGATCTAGGATTTCTTTAAGGCAAGTCATATATTAAAATACACTGCCTAAAAATTATCGATAACAACTAAACCAATTGTTATCATTTGTGGAGTTCATAATAAAGAGATTTATCTAAATATAATCAAGGCATTTATATGAATTTTGATTGGCATATGAAGTTTGATAGCTGATCAAAACTTTTTTTCTCAGAGTTTATAGAAGCATAATAATTTGCAGACCACAAGAAGTTTGAATTTGACAGTAAACTTGGGAATTTCCCCCGCTTCTAAGTCATTCAAAAGCAACAAGGAGAATAAGAAACAGAAAGACAAGGTCCTTTGATGAAACTTAGAGACATCCATATTCTTTTTTAGAAAGGTTATATGAAAAGATCAAGTGGGAGTATAAGGAAATGACAAGGGCAGACATTCATGGCTGAGAACTTCCCTTGACTTTCTGATACAAAATCTTGAGAAGCTTAGAATAGAAAAGGGAAGGAGAAATTATCATCATCACTGGAGACAGAGAATTGGCACTGAGATGAAGCTGCACAATCAAATCTTAATAAACGAATCCTAATATTCCACTGACTTTCTCAAATATTACCCTCCCACAACTTACTACCCCTGGGAACCCAAACCTCTTTTCCTCTGTCTTGTCACGTCTCCCCAAATTTACTACCCTTTGATAAGATGGTATATAAGCTCCAAATTCAAACTACCCTCTTGAGTTACTCATCACTGAGTTCTCCAGTGCATGTACACTTTGTGTGTGTGTAAATAAACTGTGGGTTTTCTTCTCCTATTAATCTGTCTTTGTCAGTTTAATTGACAGGCCCCAGTGACGAACCTAATAGGTAGAGAAAAGATTTTTTTCTCCTCCTCCCTGGCAAGTTCTAATGATTTAATCAACAAAAGCTGGGAGAAGGGGGGAAATGATGGAAGAGAAAATAAACACATTGATTTTCTCATATTTTAGAGCTGGAGGATCAAAAGAGAAAACTTGCAACTTATAAATCAAGTAACAGAGATAGAAGTATGTGTAAAGACATAAAGATAAGCACCAAGACAAGTAATATTATTCATTTCAGCAGAGACTGCCAATTCTTTTCCTGGGTTTTTTAGCTTGGCAAATAGCCACTAGGAATTATGACATTATTTCCCACACTCCTTTGCAGGTAAGTTGTGCAGCTTTACAGAAGATCCTTACAGAACAGAGGATTGTCTTTCTCCCTATCACCTTCTAAATGTATTCTGGAATGCATACGTAAGAGCTAGAGCTCCAAAAGCTTTCTTGGACCATGAGAGCACGTTAGACTGAAAGCCAGTCATGACAGAATTATATGATCCAAGAGCCTTGGTCCCTGACATTGGTAGGTACCATACCAGCCCTGGAAATGACCCCCTCCTGACTTTTTGAATAGGTGAAGAGAAATAAATTTCTGTTTTGTTTTGTTTTTTAACTACTTAGTGGATGGTATTTGGTGGTTTTGTGTGGTTTGCACCAAACTTAATCCTAATTAATATGAATGATAAGAGAATACTTTATGATACTGAGTACACATATGAAGATCTGAATAAATGGAGAGATGTATCATGTTCTTGAAAAGGAAGTCAGAACATTATAAAGAAGTCAATTTTACTTAAGTTAATACAATCACGATAAAAATACCAATAGAATTTTTGCAAACTACACAAGCTGACTCTAAAGTTCAATATAAACAAGAAAGAAGAGCCATAATATTATGTAAAATAAGTCTTCAAGAACATGAATATGTGTGTGTTTGTGTCTATATATTTTGTTTGACTTTTATTCTAAACTATAATAATTAAAATAATATGGTTCTATCACATATGGAAAGCATAGAAATAAATCTAAGGAGATAAAGAAATTTCGTAAGTGATAAAGGTGATATTTCAAGTCACTAAAAGGATGCCTGGGTGGCTCAGTTGGTCAAGCATCTGCCTTTGGCTCAGGTCATGATCCCAGGACCCTGGGATCAAGTCCTGCATTGGGTTCCTTGCTCAGTGGGGAGCCTGCTTCTCCCTCTGCCTGCCACTCCCCCTGCTTATGCATGTGCGCTTTTTCTCTGACAAACAAATAAATAAAATCTTTTTAAAAAATCAATAAAAAGATAATTATTTAATATATTCAGCTATATAATCATCTGGGAAAAAATAAATTTGGATTCCCCACCTCACACTTTGCATCAAAATATATTCTACGTGGGTCAAAGATTTTCATATAAAATGTGACACCGTAAGTACTAAAGAAAAAGTGTGTTAAAAATGTCTTAAGTATTCTTACGTGGGGAAAGACTTTTCTAAACAGGATGCAAAATCTAAAGCCATAAAGTTTGTGGAGCTGACTATACAAAAATCAGAAAGTTGGGGAAAATATATTTTTTGGAAGATTTTATTTATTTATTTATTTATTTATTTATTTATTTTTTAAAAGATTTTATTTATTTATTTGACAGAGAGAGATCACAGCAGACAGAGGCAGGCAGAGAGAGAGGAGGAAGCAGGCTCCCTGCTGAGCAGAGAGCCCGATGCAGGAATCGATCCCAGGACCCTGGGATCATGACCTGAGCCGAAGGCAGTGGCTTAACCCACTGAGCCACCCAGGCGCCCAGATTTTATTTATTTATTTGACACAGAGAGAGAGAGAGTATGAGCAGAGGGAGAAGCAGGCTCCCTGCCAAGCCAATGCAGGGTTCCATCCCAGGACCCTGGGATCATGACCTGATCTGAAGGTAGCAGCTTAAGCGACTGAGCCATCCAGGCACCCCAGGAAAAAAATATTTAAAAAATACAAAGCAAACAGAAAAAAATTTTTTTTCAACTCATATCACAGGCAAAGGCCAATTTTCTTAAAAGAATTCTTAAAATAATTCTTAAAAGAATTCCTCTTAATTTATAACAAAAAGACAAGAAAAGTAAATACATAGGATCTCAAACATAAGGAACACTAAACATAACAAGATGGTCAAGTTCATTCATCACAAAGGATGCCAAATAAAACTACACTGTGATACCATATTCACCCATCTATTTGGCAAAGATTAAAAAAACCTCTGGTGATACACTGCTGGTACATTTAGGAGGAAAAGGGCTCTCTCATAAATTTATTGTAAGAATACAGAATATAAATTGACACAAGGTCCCTCAAAATCAATTTGATAACTAAGAAATTAAAATGTTTAGATACTAATTTCACAGATTTGCACATATTTCAAATGTCATATATACAAGGTTACTTACATATATACAAGTCATATATACAAGGTTACAAGTGTTGCTTGTAACAGCTAAATATTGGCCATATCCTCTATTTCCATTGATAGAACACTGACATATTAAATATAACCATATAATGGGATATAAGGTGACCATTAAAAAGGCTTTGACAAGCAATTTTGCAGAATGTGCTGCTTCAAGGAAACAATACAAAACTGTACCCATTAACTGACATCGCCATGCATTACAAATTCTTGGATCCTCATTCTTGTGATCTGGTACACATCAGAAATCTATAGATTTGATCGTCAAAATGATCAATCAGATGGAAAGTAAAAAGCTACAACTTCTTCTGAGTTGGAATTTAGCATTCAAATGTCACATCTAATATCAAAATGCAAAACACATTTTAAAGTAGTACTGATGAAACAATATAACCTAAGAATCCATGGGGAAAATGGATTACCTGGAGATGTGTATCAGGTTTCCATACTGTGAGAGCATTATTTTCCCAATATATCATATCTTTCACTGCTTTTCCAGCTCAAGGTATTTGAAGGTGTTCTTTGCAAACTGTGGCAACACTTTGCTTTTAATATTATAAAGAACTCTTCTTCCTCAACCAAAAAAATGAGGACCCGGACCCTGATTTCTAAAGTCCTGTCCAACTAACATACTATTTTTTTTTCTGTACTGTTCTATCCTCATAATACATCAGAACACAATTCTACTCACTACACATGCACACACATACACGGAATTACATACAGGGAAAGAGAAACATCTACTGAATGCTTACCTGATAACGTGTTGGCTGGTTGAGAATGCTGTTAAAACTGTGTGATTCAAAAACTCTTGAGTTAGACTGAGTGAAGAGGTTTAACTAGGAAAAAATACAATTAACCTAGTAAATTAGAATACATTCATTGGGAAATCAAAAATATAATCTACTATATTCTCCTCGATAACATTTCTGGAGTCAACACTTCCAAGGAACATTTTGTGGAAGTTGAATTTCATAAATGATATAATATATTTCCAGTGGTAAAAATTCACGTGAGCAACATGCTCACACTTATCAAGATGTTCACAAGGTGTACTGCAGTAGAACTGAAAACGTATTTTAAAATATGGCTCACGGGGGCGCCTGGGTGACTCAGTCTTTTAAGTGTCTGCCTTTGGCTCAGGTTGTGATCCCAGGGTTCAGGGATCGAGGCCCACAATAGGTTCTGTGCTCAGCCTGTTTCTCCTCTCCCACTCCCCCTGCTTGTGTTTCCTCTCTCGCTGTCTCTCTCTCTGTCAAATAAATAAAGTATAAAAAACCACAAATCTGGCTCATACTAAACATAATTATCAAAATGTATTCATGGCATCTAGAAGGCAAAGATGCCTAGAAGCAATTGTCTGCTCCTGAGCCTATATTTGTCTCCTACACTTGAACAGAAACACGCTACAAGTTCAAAAGGTATCATTCAATATTTTATAACCCTAAAATATGAGCCAAAATAACATGTCTTCCTAGGATCATGGCCTTATACTGATTGAGATTCACAACTTTGAATAGAATAAGCTTAAAGAATTTTGATTCTCTTTTCTCTTTGGGTTTAACTTCACAGTGGGTAGAAGGGTAGAAGGAGAAAGTAAGAGTAGCACACTGTTACTGGCTACTCTTCATGTATGTGAGCGGGACCTGCCTCTTAACTCTTGGGCAAGCTGCTACTGATAAGGTATGATTCAAAGGCAGGGCCCCCTGTGCAAAAATATGTACGCCCCATCACCTGACTTCAAAGCATCATAACTCAGGAACGTGTGGGATGCTAAGAGGAAGGTAGTGGCACAATCAAGCCAAGAAAAAACCTGGGCTAATAAAATTAATTCTCCTCCTTGCCACTGGAGGTCAGTATCTGACTGTTGACTGAGATCAGTTCTAGTGGTTTGGACAAAGGATTTCTCTGGGCTCCTTCCTCTCTTCTAAAAAAGAAATAACAGAGACATGTAATTTCTCCAAAGTTTTACTAAAGTCAGTACACAGACAGTATTAATATTCATGGTATTAATAATATTAAAGAGATTTAAACATCTTCCTGCATAATTTTAAAAAATTCAAGCAAAATGACAGCTTTAAACCAGATCTGGGGAGACTGGGAAGCCAAGGCTCAAAGCTTCTGAGAGATCAGTGCTCAACTTATTTTCCACTTCCGGCAACTTTTCTGAAAAAAGCTATTCTTTCTGCCAATGGTGCAATACAGGCGGGGCAAGACACCCCAAATGAAGCACATCTGCTCCCCTCACAACCCTTTGTGCGAACTGCATTTCCCTTACAGGGGCCGAGGGAGACACAAGCCACCTGAACGCGCACTCTTGACCTGAGGGTATTTCCCCCCTTCAATGCTGTGGCACTCCCAGGAATGAAGTCAGTGAAATCAGTCTTCTACAGAAAGAAAACTTCAAGATGTGTTGGGCAGAGGGGCATGGGAGGGGAAAATGGGCCAGTAACCAAACCAGAGCAGCAGGTGCTGAGTATAAGGCAACCCGTGCAGTAGAAAGAGCTAGACATCTGATGCTGGAAAAGTTGGATTCCACACCTACCCCGCCACTGGCTAGCTCCCTGACCTTGCATAAGTGCACCACTTTAAGGGTTTCAGGGGTCTTATCTATACAACGGGAATAATAATAATACCTACCTCACAGTGTTGCATGAGGCTCAAGTGTACAGCAAAGCACTTTGTGAACTGTGAATGAGGAAGGGCACTGATATTTGTTGAGGCTGGAACTGTGTACATCTCAAATCACCCTCACATTAACCCTACAGAGTTTTCTCTTTCAGATGGGACAGCTAAGTTTCAGCGTAATGAAATGACTTCTCCACGTTACTCGCTAGGAAGCCATTAAGGCCCCAAATTCAAATCCGAGTCTAACGCAGAGGCGCTCCTCTTTACACTGTCCTGCTTCTCACCGTGTACACGTGAGCTACTATTTGAAATCATGGGATGATACAGTCAAATCAGTGCCCTGGAACTGAACAGCCTTAAGAGCCCACATCCAAGTAAAATTTAAAAAGGTTTCAAAGGCTTAAAGAATAAGATGCCGGGGTATTACAAATCTTGGAAATGCACATCAGTTTTTTTAAAGTGAGAAATTAGATTGCAGGGATCCGGTCTTTTTCACCAACTTCAACTGAGAGCAAGTACCTACCTACTTCTGCTAAACCTGCCTGTACTTTATGGAGGTAACGCTGCCATCTGGTGGGCTCCCAGGGTATCACAACTACAGGCCATCTTCACAACTAAGGCAAAAATGCTATTTTAACTCCACCCATTTGCTCCTCTATGTCTTGCTCCCTGTTATTTGAGGTCCTGCTCACATCATTTGACTCCCCCACCAATTCTATCTCTGAAAATTAAGTTCATGATGATAAAGTACTATCATAAAATTCATCTTTGTTAAAATCAGAGTATGACTCAGTCTAAAATCCAAGTATGACTTAACTGGGACAACTTTTGGACAAACCATTCTTAATTATTTATAAAAATGGTATTTATGGTTAATATTTGAGGATGCTCTTAGGTTTGTGCCAATTTTATGATAGTAAAGAAAAAAAAAGATTACTTAGCCCAATCAAGAGTTTCTACAAATAAGAATATGGTGGAGGTAAACTATGCATACACCCAAGAGGAAAATGTGAGGTTAAAACTATTTAACATCAGGGGCGCCTGGGTGGCTCAGTGGGTTGGAGCCTCTGCCTTCGGCTCGGGTCATGATCTCAGGGTCCTGGGATCGAGCCCTGCGTCGGGCTCTCTGCTCAGCAGGGAGCCTGCTTCCTCCTCCCTCTCTCTGTCTGCCTCTCTGCCTACTTGTGATCTCTGTCTGTCAAATAAATAAAATCTTAGAAAAAAAAAAACTATTTAACATCAGAATAACAGGTGAGAGGCATGGAACACAAGAAAACCAAAGTGTTTCCCTACAATAACTCTTTTGTTTACTTTTAACAAGTTAACAAGGTGTTTTTGTTTTTAATCTGGTGCTTTGCATGAAATTCTGACCAAAAGCAAGATACAGACTAAGTGACTTCTTGAAACATTATGCAGATATTAAGTCTTAGCTTGTGAAAGACTACGGAACAAACAGTAACTTTCAACATCTTCTAAGTTCACACATGAAAATTACTGAACAAACATCAAAGACAAGGAGAAAGACAGAACAGTCATCCTCAGGTCTTGGTGAGTTTTGGATACCTACCCTGGACTTGGAGTTACCCATTCCCATTTCTATATCCTTCTGTAGCCGGCTCCTCCTGCATTTGGAAAAGTTAATGATCCGCATGACGAAATAAACAAATGACTTCGGACTAGGAACTAGACTGAAAGGTGGAGGTAATGTTTTTCCATCATCAAAATAAGATAACCAAAGTTTTGAACGGGCAAACTTCCATTCTACATCACTGTCATCCTGTGTCATAAAAACAGAAAAGAAACAATGACTCGTTTTGAGTAAGGGACAGGCAGGGCTAGATAGGGGCACATAGGTGATGGCAGGAGCGGGCAGCTATGGGATCAGGCTCACAAAAGTCCCCCAAATGCAAAGGTGTAAGGTAACCAGAGAGAAGGGAACCAACCAGACCAGCCTCCCCAGGTGTCAGAAGTGGAATCTTGTTAGGACAGCTACAACAGTTCCAATAAAGAATTATTGGACCCTAAAAAGGAAGTAAGCCATTAAAGGTGTTGTCACTAATCCTTACTCAATGGTGCTATCAGTAGAGAAGTTCAATAAAAGACCAACCCTCAAAGCCCGCAGTGGCAACCCTGTCAGGACCCCTCTCACTCCTGAGAGCTTTTTCTCTATTCTCGCTTAGTAAACTTGTATTGCTTTCCTCACTCTCCTTTGTCCGCGAGATTCATTCTTGAGCTCTGTGAGACAAGAAACTCGTTCTCCCCCTTCAATTTTAAAAACAAAATATTCCAGTAATTGGTTTCAGTAGGATCATACAAGGAAGCTAAATTACACTTTTGAAAAAGAAAAGTGACTTATATACATTTATCTGCATATAACCTCTATTGGCCTACATATATTCTTAGCACCACTAAGAATGTTTTCATTTTTCTCTTCCATATGCCTCTGTCTCTACCCAGTGAAACTGAACCAGAATGTCCTGTCCCCCAGCCAAAGATTAAGCAAAAATGCTAGAAAAATTCAAGGTCAAGGAAAGGACAAAAATTCAAGGTCAAGGAAGGACAAAAAGATTAACTCCTCCCTCCCTTCCCACCCCTGCCAATTCCACATATTCAACAGGACTTCCCCACTCTTCACCTGGCCTCCCCACTCATCGAGACCCATCCAAGGCAGGCTGTAGACAGACCATAACACACTTCAAGAGCAAAAGAAAAAAAAATAGCACTAAGCTGAATTGTACTTCGGAGGTTATGTGTCGGCCATCTGTCCTCAAATGTCATATGAGGCCCTCAGTGGCCTATTCCTATCTTGTTTGTCCTTTTGATGAAGCATAGCTGGAAGGCAGGCAGGAAAGGAGAAGGAGCCCCACCCTAAGAGGAAACTACCCTTAAAAGGATTTTATACCACCCAGGAAGGAGCTCTTCACCTATCCCATGTGATAGGTGACAAAAACCCGATTGGGTGACAGGCACAGGGAGGGTTGATCAGATTACAACAGCCTGTCTCAACAAGACCAAAAAAAAACCCCTAAACTTAGAAACTCTGGTGGCCACCCTTTTGGATCCCCTCCCTCCTTGGGAGTCTCTTACTAACACTTCCCTATCACTCAATAAACCTTGGCTTGCTTCCCACCACTCTGTCTGGTCTACCTCTTCATTCTTCAGAGAGGTGTGACCAAGAACCACGTGCACCAACAGAAGGAGAAAATATCCCTTTTATTCTCTGTCCTGGACCATGGTGATGGAGAGAAGAAATGAAGAGGAGGGGGTTCAAAGGTGGGAGAAGTTGGCTTGCTTATCTCACACTGCCCAGACTGCTGTTACCACAAACAGATACTCAGGGTCCCACAGTTTTCATTTCTGGGGGACCTAACTTCTACTTTGAGATACCATTTTATGTGTCTCTAAAACACACACAGTCTCAATGCACTTAACAAACAGCAAAGCACGAAAGAGATATTGAACACAAACCTGGAGGACATGGAAAACACACACGATGATGAAGGAAGGTACCAAACCAAGCCTAATCCAAAACAAGTAGAGTGACTTCTAGAATACTAAAAATTCTGACTGGATACAGAACATCATCTGGGTTTGCCAGACATCTAGGAATTCCCCTACTTGATGAGGGAGCAGGAGGCTGGCTGAGGACAAAGCAAAAGCTGGCACCTTGCACCCCCTCTCCTCCCACTCCCCTCGGTAATATGTGTGACATTCTTCAGGCACCCCTGACTGCCCTAAAAGAAAAACAAATAGTTAACTTGCAGAGATCACAATCCTGCAAGACAGGAGTCTCCCTTGGTTTACCAATGTCCTAGAGATTTACAACAAAGAAGCTATCTTAACAATAGCACAATTTCCAGAGGCAAATAACTCAGTTCTTCAAGCCCTAAATAAAGTTAAATTTCTTCTAAACCCAAATCTCACTAACAAGGACACTTGATAGGAGAAATGTGGAAACTTTATCTCTAGATCTCCAAGATAGTGTCGAGAATCATTCCCAAGCCTATGGCCCATTGATATACATCTAAAGGGTCTCACAAGAAGATTTTTACTAGTAGTAATAAATAACCTTTCTCCCAACAACAGCTAGCCCCTCAAGGTCCTGGAGACCTTGCTTCCAAAATTCCTTAGAAACTAACATCACCCCCTTTGTTCTCACCTACCCAACTCCTGTGTATATAATCAGCCACTCCTCAGGATAATGGCACAGCAGCTCTTCCTGCCCATGGGTCCTGTTCCCGTGCTTTAATAAACCACCATTTTGCACCAAAGATGTCTCAAGAATTCTTTCTTGGTCATCGGCTCCGGACCTCAGCCCACCGAACCTCACCTATGTTCCAGAACTTCATCATACTGAGATCTTTCAGATGGTTGCCTGGCTAATCTAGGAGAGAATAATTCCCCTACAGCCAATAGCCAATAGTTGTAGCCCCTAATTTCAAAACGTTTGAAATGTATTCTGAGAGGAGGCAGAGTGATGATAAGTTCAGGGGGACCCCTTTTGTGCTCTTAGAAGACACTGGAGGCTGTGAGCCTACCTACCCAGGAAGAAAATGCAGGGAAAGGTCCTGGCTCCCTCTGCTTGCCTCTTAATTTAGAGGAGCTGGAAATCCACCACAGGGCACAGAAACAGATGTAGGATACTATTAGAATGGGATGGCAAAAATAGACACCATGGATAGAAAGCAGGTTTACCTCAATTTCTTGATATGAGCTATTAATCATAGCAATTAACATGTTGAGTAAAACGACCACCATAGTTACATTGTATATTCCATAAAGAACGTATCCAATATTCTCTATGAATTTGTGATCGTATTTGAGCACAACGGAAGTGACTTCAGACAACCCAAATATCGACCAAAACAAAGTCTTGAAACTTTCTTCTACACTGTTGAGAGAATAAGGTACACAGTAAATAAACTGACAGTTTTCAGTATGAAAAATTCAAAAGAGAAACCTGATAGGGTTTAAATTCTATACAGAGGTAAAAATGCCTTCATTAAATATCATCATAATAAACACCACGAGTATAATTATTTAAATCAGGTTTACTGGAGTAGAACAAGGCCAGGATTAAAATCATATACTCGCTTATAAAAAAAAAAAAACATATTCCCTGCACCATGGCAGCAGGGAAGAATGAAAACCACCTACATATGCATCAATGGGGGGAGGGTAAATAATTCTGACATCTATATGATGGATGGTATGTGGCCACTGGGAAAATGAGACAGATCTATTTACATGTGTTTCTATAAAACGATATCTGAGATCTATTAAGTAAAAAAATAAGATATAGCAAGAGTGAAATAGTCTACCATTTGACTAAAAGAGAGGGGTTTACAAATACTTATATTCTTGTTTGTGTATAAAATATCTCTGAAAGTATCCAAAAGAAACCATTGCCTCTGTGAACTAAGGAGAAATAAGAGGCAGGGGTCCAGTGGTGAAGAAGGGACATGCTTTTCACTATAGACACCACTCCATGAATTTTTTGCCACAAGAATATATTACCCACCCAAAAGTTTTGCTTAACTGGAAACGAAGAGGAGGGAACAGACTGAGAGATTTCTATTCTTTTCCTTTAATTTATACAACTTACTCCCTGAGTCTTCCATCACAGCAATGAACACATAGGCCTCTACCAGACTATTTACCTACTTTTATCCCCTCAATGATCTTTGCCAGCTGAATTTGCCTGATTTGGGCCTAAAACCAAGTTGTACTTACTGCTTTGTGAAACACAAAAATAATCCTTAAATTAAACAATTAGACATGTGGAATTCCATTACTTTGGAAAAAGTCAGTCCTTTTTCCAAAGGAACATTAATGGGAACAGTCCAGTTTAAAAATATATATATAACAGATTCTAAATAACAATTTTGTAGATTTACAGGTTTTAGCACTAGTTTGTTTATTCATCCCATCATTCAGCAAATGCTGGTGGAACACCTATTAGGTTCTAGAAAGTGTGCTAGACCCTGAGAGTAGAAGCCTGAATAGAAAGGTTCCTACCTCTACACAGTTACTCTCTACCACAAAACATTTCCCTGCATGATGTTATAGCATAGACGGTAGCAGGAGACTAAGAAAAACTAGAACCTCTCTGTTCCTTGCCGTTAATGTAACAGGATCCCCAAATTCTCTGACTCCTTCATCTTGCTCTCTGGCAGACCTTCTCACCTCTAACTTCGAGAATACAGATTCCCGAGAATCTCTGCAGGGGAAGAGGCAGACAGCGGAAAAGGGGAGGTTCCTGAGCTCTGACTGTGGGCTAGAGGCTTTCTATCAATGACTTTATATAACCCTCACAACAACCCAGTTCCAATCTTATCGTGGTTATTGTAAGAAGAAGGAAACTAACACAGAGGACTGTTGAGTAACTTGACCAAAAGCCACAGCCAGAAACCAGCAGAGGCTGCACCCGCATCTGCATCTGCCTGATTTTCCAGCCTCTATCCTTTTCACCGTATCAAGTTGCCACATCCTCACACAAAACAGTGACAACAATGTGTTGTATAAAATGAGTTCTCACAGAGTTCAAAGGGGTGGCCATGTGCGTAGGATCTTTCCATCCCTTCCGGAGTGGGTTCCAACAGAACTTTTTTTCATTACAATAAAGTAAGTTTCAGTTCTGTTTTACCCCTAAGACTTGCTCTATATACCTATTTGAAAAAAAAAAAATCATTTCAAAACAATTTAGATGCCTGAAAGGGCTTAATATTCTATTTTAGTCTACAGGGAACTTATTGAAGGTCTAGATTCTTTCCAGTTGTGGCATGACAGGTTTACAAAGGGAGACAGGGAGGGCTTATGATCTCCCTACCTGCAATGACTACAGTACAAAAGGGAGGGCCCCATCCCTGCCCTACTAAATGCTGGTAAGTGAGAGTATCTCCCAACTAGAGGTCTCTAGGCTGAGGGAACTTCAAGGAACAATGACTAAGGAAGTTTAATTAAGGAAGACTTCCCAGGCAAGGTGAGTCTCCAGTGCAGATACCAGGGTGACTACAGGAAGGAAGCGGTATTAGTGTTACAGTGAGCTGTACAACATTTAGTTTCAATTTCTTCTTACTCAACTCTGTACTGATTAATGATGCATTAAAATAAAAGCCAATGCTTCTTTTTTGAATAATAATGGCTTCAAAAGGACAAAACTAAATTTAATGTCATACATAATATAAGAGACATCCAGTATTAAAAATTTGCTGCCTAATTCTCTTAAAATAGTCAGTTCTGTCTAGGATTTTTCCAAATTCTGATTCCATTCCACGCAAAGAAATGAGGCTTTGGAGCAATGTAATCACACATAAGCATTGTTTTTAATGGGTTTCTTTTTCCCCTTAAAAACATCTTTATCAGGATTTCTGAATTTTTTGTGTGTTCACTTCATTTGGATTTGTTAGAAATTCTCTTCATCATACTTTTTTTATATTTTACTTACGTGGTAAAAGCAGCATTTACTTTAGCTCCAAGGTAGTAAGAATACAGTATGAACATGCCAATCATAAAGGCAAGAAACACCATAATAAAGAGGACCATGAACTTGAAAATATCCTTCACAGTCCTTCCAAGAGAGATCTGCAAGGGGCCAAAGCTCTCATTTGCAGGAAGGATATATGCAATCCGAGAGAAGCTGAGCACAACAGCTATAGCATATAGGCCTTCAGATATGATCTGAGGGTCAGAAGGGAGCCATTTATCTCTGGCTAGAAAAAGAGAGAGAGAGAGAGATTAGAAATGGAACTTTTTGTTCATTGCTAGCTATGCAAAATAAATACCTTAAATAATATCTATTTTTTAGGTAGATTTTTTAAAAAGATTTATTTATTTATTTATTTGACAGACAGATATCACAAGTAGGCAGAGAGGTAGGCAGAGAGAGAGGGCGGAAGCAGGCTCCCTGCTCAGCAGAGAGCCTGATGCGGTGCTCAATCCCAGGACCCTGAGATCATGACCTGAGCTGAAGGCAGAGGCTTAACCCACTGAGCCACCCAGGTGCCCCTAGATTTTTTTTTTTTTAATCTTGGTTGAAACTACTCTAGATTTAATTAACTGCCCAGGCACTGTTTTTCATGTTAAACCAGAAACATATGAGTTCCACACTCACACGGAATCTTGTACTAGAGGAAACACTCTTGTAAAGATATGAAGCCTGCTTCACATTGAGTAGAAACAGAATCAAGTATGAAAGATACAGAAAGAGGTTAAAAATCCTTCATCAGACACAGACTGTGTCCAGAATGACAAAACAATTGACTTGACTAATTTGTTCCCTCAGTTACTAGATTTATTGATGTGCTATTCCGTCACACCATAGGCTCAGTTGGCACAAAACTTCTTTTTCATATTTCATGGGGAAATTAGTTCATCTGACAGTTTGTGCAAGAAAAATGGCATATTATGAGAAGTAAGAATGTCAACCGAATCACAATGGTGCTGTCAGTGTGGTATCTGAGCAAAACAACCTGTTCCCGGAAAATGTAATATGCTACTAAGGTGTAAAAATTTGGGGGATAGATTCTAAAGGAGGACTCCACCCCTTTCAAGGTCACTTAGTTCACAACAAACTACGGGATACTCATTCCCAGGAGGGTCAATGAAATACTATGTGGCTAATTGTGTGCAAACCTAATCATTCTCAGATGAATGAATACATTGTAGACATTTTCAACAAGAAAAATTAACATTTGTTGAGTGTTTAATGTGTACCAGACACAGTGCTTTCCCTTAACTCTATGGATTTGGTGTTATTATTATCCGCTCCTTAGAGATGCTGAAACCAATACTTGGAAAGGCTAAGTACTTGATCAAAATCATACACACAATAAGAAGTAAATCCTGAACTCACAAATTTCCCTCCAGATGACAGTCAATTAGATACACATGAAGACATTTAAATAAATAAGTTACTAAAATAGGATAGATGTTACACAAAAATACAATTTAAGCTAATTCTTTAATTATAAATGGTAATCATTTACTCATTTCATCTGGTCTCCCTGGCATAGAAAAATCCTTGTTTGCTGACAATAAGAGCTAAGGTGTTTAAATTTCACAATGTGTGAAACGTACATTTTATATTTTGGAGCAGGCACTCAGTCTTCTTCTTTAATAATGTTAACACGCCACTTGTACTTATCACAATGTAAGCCTTAATTATACTTGTAAAGAATTATTCTTCAAAATCAGAACACATCTGAACTCTGTGCCTGAGTTTCCTTATCATTAAAATAAGGGGTAGGCAATACATTTCTAAAGTCCTGTCCAGACTTAAGATTGTGAAACTACATGAAAATTTGCTAATCACACCTCCCCAGTCTGGCCTCAAGGGAGAGGAGGCTCACATCACTTACCCCTGGTTTGTGCTGGCAAGGATGGAATCACTATCCTTGCACCCTGGTTGTCAGTGGGGGTCTCCCTGCTCTTCATGATACAGAGAAGGTAGGCATGAATTCCCTTCCACCTTGTGTGGAGGGGCAGGACATCACCCCAGTATTTCTGCGTGTTTTCCAGAGCTTATGATCTCATGTCACTTTAGCTCCTACTTCCTGCCTCTGCTGAGTTTTTGTTCACTTCACCTGAACAGCAGCACAACACCTTTTACTCTTTTATCCCCTCTGAACCACGCTTTCAGAGACTCATCTTCCATCTCGATCAGTTTATCAAGCTATTTTCCCCCGTAGTTAAGACAGTTTCATACCCTAAGAAGATACACTAGTAATTATGTTGTTGGGCTCAAAGATAATTTCCTCCTACCCTGCAACATCTTCTTTGTAGAGATTTGAACACTGAGGCACAGAGAAGTAAATTAACTTGAACGAAGTCACAAACAGCAAGGGAGAGTCATAGCCTCGACAGGAATCCAGTTTTATATAGTTCCATAGCTCATGCTCTCGCCTCTGTTCATATACATTCAACACACATCTCATACTAAACATGGACAACTTCCAAAGTGTGGTTTCAGTACCTTTCCTGAGGACCTTTCATATGAGGACCCTGCAGTCAATAACTTACCATAAGTGAAATACTGGATCTCCGGTGGAAGTGTAACTTCACTGAGGTCGCTCTCTTGGACATAACTGTCCACATACTGCTGTGCTTTTGTTGCCTGAAGGAAAGCTAGGAATCTGGCCGTGAAAGCAGCAATGAAGATGGAGAGCATCCCGAAGTCCAGCACATTCCACAACTGCAAAATATATTCCCTAGGTCCTTCCAGCCAGAGCTCCTTACACTCAGACCACATCATTCCTGTCACACAGGAAGGTACAGATTATATCTCACAGCTTAGACAGAGAAGCTCATACTTGGTCCACCACCAGTCCCCATCTAGAAAATGCTCCATAGATAAAGCAGCATATGAGGCACCACAAAGCACCCACTACTGTTCAGCTCCCTGACGCCCTGGGGAGAATCACATGGAAGAAAAATCTTTACTAAGTCAGAATTAGAATTTGGAATAACAGAGTTCTACATCTGGTACCAGAAATGGGATGGGCAGGAAAGAGGGAAGGAAAGTAAGCAAAGAAGACTCTTCAAGTCAAATGATTTTGCCCTGTGAGATTTTGGAAGGAGAGGAGAAAATTCATCTTTGTGAATTCCAATGGTTATCAAACCACAATAATTACTGGTGAAACAAACCCCTAAATGAGAAAGTTACGGTAGACTTTTAACAAGATCATTTTCCCAATCACACAGGAACACTTACATCATTCCCCTACCTTCTCTCCTCTTTCTAGTTTCATGCTAGGGAGGTGAGGAATATCACTGGACAAAGAAGGAACCCTTAAGCAGGGGCCCTAGGATGCTGTGAAGAAACAGAAAGCAGAAAATGCCATTCTGGGAGAAGAGGGAAAAATATTCCAATTTAACCATTTGTCCTGACCATGTAAGGGGAAGACATTGTGGAATTTCTAAAAAGGTATTAGCTCAAGATAAAATTTATAAAATAATTATTTGACCCAGGTTGAGTCCACAGGAGTGAATGAGGGGAGTAACCATGTTATTAACTCAGGAACTAAGAAGATACCAAAAAAACTCTGGGAAAACAGAGAGAACAGATAAAAGTGACTCTGCATTAGTAATGGTTAGATAAACTAGTTCCTACCTCCATTTTTTTTCCCTCTCATTGCCTAAAGTTTTTAATTTTAACATAGCTATTCAAAATGGACACCTGTGAGTCAAGATGTGAAGGCAGCCTAAGTGTCCAATGGTCAATGGATGGATAAAAATGTGATATGTATGTGTACACACACACACACACACACACACACACACACACACACTGGAATATTACTCAGCCATAAAAACAAATGAGATCTCAGGTTTCCAACAACATGGGTGGGCTTAGAGGGTATATACTAAGTGAATGAAGTCAGAGAAAGAGAAATACCATACGATTTCACTTCTGTGTAGAATCTAAAAATCAAAATGAAGAACGACACACTCTTCAATACAGAGAACAAAGTGGTGGCTGCTAGAGGGGAGGTCAGTGGGGGGATAGGAGAAAAAAGGACATTAAGAGGTACAAACTTCTAGTTAATCAATAAGTCATGGAGATAAAAAGTACAGCACTGGGAATAGTCAGTAATACTGTAATAATGTTGTATGGAGACTGTACTTATCGTGGGGAGCAGTGAGTAATATATAGACTTGTCAAATCATGATATTGTACACCTGAAACTAATATAACACTGCATGTCAACTATACTTTGCCAATAAAAATCTAAAAAAAGCAAAAAAAAAGGGACTATTATAAGGTAAAGTAACAATTAAGGAAACTCTCCTAAAAAAAACCTTTTAAACAAAGGCAAAAAATGTTCTTTAATTATCAGTTAATGGCTACTGGGATATTTCACAAGTATTTCAATGAAATATTTGATCATCATCAGTGAGTCACATTTTCATAAAATTTATAATTACTCAATAACTAAAGTTAGAAATGTGGTTTATTCATAATTAGGCTCATGTTACGCATAAAAATTTTTACTTAGTCTTAAGGAATACATTTCAGTATTATTAAGCTGCCAAATCACTCAATTATTTTGTTCTGCTTATCTTACAATGATGATGTTGTCATCATATAGCACATGACAACACTTTAAGTAAAAAAGCAGTCATACACACACACACACACACACACACACACAATTTTTTGTAGAAATTAGAATATTTAAAATAGTAAGCTCACCGAGAACCCAGACCATAATTAGCATCTCTGTCCACGTGAACTGGGTGGTTTTCACCCTGAAGATCTGCTTGGGATAGTCAATTACAGTGATATTGGGCAGCGTGGTGATGCCTTCGAATCTGTCTGAGGCATTGAACACAAGCAGGCCCAGGAAGATGATGAAAGAAGCAGCATGTGCAACAAACTTCATAAAAGGGCTTCGCAGAATTTTCCCCAGCTGTAGGACAATAGACAAACAAAGAAGAAGAAGAAACTTCTACTTTGGAAAGCATGGCTTCTGCTTTTGCAAATGACGATACAGGATTTTAAAAAAAATAGATGAAATGAGAAGACTTCCAAAATTCTGCTTCTGTTTGTGAAGAGCTATACATTATGAAAACTACTCTTTTTAGGGGATGCTGCCACCAAGAGTAATTTAAGAAGTCTTCAAACTTCATTGTTGCTAAATATCCAATTTGTCTTAGAGTTGACTGCATTCACAGGTGCATTTCTGAAAATCACAAGGCATATGCTGGTTATGCTTATTTTTACAGGAAAGACCACGCAACCAACATATAGGTTTTGAGAGTCTAGGAAAAGAAACTCCAAATTTGTAGTGTGTATTCTTTGTTACTTTATAATTGAAACTTTATGAGTTTGGAGACTCATTCATTTATAACTGAAGTGTTATGATGTGTTTGTAGTACCTAACAAGGCCTTTGAAGATTAAAAACCTTACTACTACAGAAATAAATTTTTGTTCTCATTTCTAAATATTCTGAAATCAAGCTGTACTTTGTATGCTATAAAAAAAGACAGAAGATATCAGAATCAGGTAAATGTTTTATGTGTTATTACCTCAATAAGAAGAAGGAGGTTCGCAATAACTAAAACCTTTAAGTAGGTTAACTTAATTAAGTCAGCCCTGAGTTTGGAAAATCATATAAATAGTACAAAAGCATCTCTAAAGTTCAGTGCATAATTATTTTAAGGTAACTCCTTTAAAATCCCATGTGATATAATGTCCTTAAAAGCCCCATGTTCTAGCAGAAATGAAAAACAATTCTGCCTGTCCCAAGGGCTTCTTCAGCCCAAGAATTAGGTACATTTGGTAGATTTATCAAATAAGTTCTCTAGCCTACATACTCAGAACCAACTTCAAACTCAGTCTGTGACCTTACAAAGCACAAGCGTCACATCTAAGAGAATGCAACTTCAAACAAATGTTTTGTATGTCTGGAACCTTAATTTGATGTCAACAAATCATGGAAGAATGTTAAGCATTTCTGGAGTTGAACATGGACGCAGACAGACAAGTGTCACATTTTCCATATCAGACACAGAAAAAGAAACAACACATTTGCACGCCGCTGTGCTGTTCTGCAGCTGCAAAGAGCCACATTTGCAGGAGCTCATCTGTAGCACACAGTGATTTCTTTTGGGTGGCCAAGTCTGTTTCTCATCAAGGCTGATTTTTTAAAACTTGAAATTGCATGAAAATAAAGCAGCATGCCTATCTTAAAGATGGGATATATGTAGGGAGCTCTTGCTATGCTGTCTTCTTGACACAGTCTAGGTGGTATACGGTAGATATAAAGGTGGGCTTCAGCAACGATTCGATTCCCTCCTTTCACTGTCTCCACTGGACAAAGAGTTCACCACACCATTTATTTTTTTTAAAGCCTTTATTTATTTATTTGTCAGAGAGAGAGAGCACGAGTGAGAGAGAGAGAGAGAGAGAGAGCACAAGCAGGAAGAACACCGGCAGAGGGAGAAGCAGGCTCCCCGCTGAGCAAGAAGCCTGCCGCAGGACTCGATCCCAGACCCTGGGATCATGACTGAGCTGAAGGTGGAAGCTTAATTGACTCAGCCACCCAGGCATCCCTCACCACACCATTTATAAGAGCTGCACTTTTCTAAGTGAAGAGAAAAAAAGAGTGGACTTCAATGTTCTAACTGATTAAGCTGCCCCCAAAGATGAACACTTAAAAATCAGACCTTTCCAGGTCATTTCCCTCAGGAAGGGAAATTATTTGCAGGGGAAGTGATTTTTGCTTTAACGCATCCTCTCTCATCATTTATAGATTTTAGACTTAAGGGTTCATATACTGGAGGAATGGTAAGGTACCTTCCCATGATACATATTAAAAGAACTTAGTCGACTTATCAAAACTGATCAGAATGACAGACTTTCTGCCTTCAGTTGCAGGGGCAGCTCAACCATGAAGTGAGAGGGATGAATATTCTCACATGTGTATGGTTCTTGCAGAGGGGGCCTCCCTCTTCCAGAAAGACTACTGAGCCAGAAAGATGACAGATTTCCAGGATCATTTGTAAGTGGCCTTGACTCTTCTTGAAACTGCCTCTGATTTAAACAAAATCAGACTTTGGAATATAAAAACAGGATTAAGGATCTCACAACAGCTTCTTCTCCCCGGCAGTGCTCTTTATAAACCTAATACAAATTCTGTCAGCATGGCTAGTATTCCTTCCCATATCTTGTTGGAAGATCTATGAGGCACAATTAAATTGAGTCTATACTGGCAAGTTGAGAGAGGGATAAAGGTAGTAAACAAAATGATTCAAGCAAAACTAAATAGATAAACAATCTAAAAATTCCAAAGCCCCCAACCCAAATTCTACCTTTTTAAAAATCTTCTGAAGGAACGAAGGGCTGGGGGAACCTGGCATGGACTTTCTGGAATTCTTCAAATTAACACCACTGTTCATGACTGCACTTAATACACCCAGCCTCAGGTCTCTTGACAGGTTCCAATGAGTTACTCTTCCAGTTCTCAGGTTAACTGATTCTTGGTACCACTGCTGTAGGGCTGTTCTCCTACCACAGGCCAACTCAGTTGACTCTCTGTTTATTAAGCTGTCAATAGAATTAGCAAAGTGCCACCTCACCCAGGTAGCTTTTCCTCTTGACTATCACGGGGATTTTATCTTAAAAACCTGGTAAGTATCATATGCCTTCAAATGTGGTCTATCCCACTGTACCAGATCCCTTTTCCTCCCTTATTTGAATTTATCCAGTCATTAAAAAGCAGAATTTGTGTTCCTGAGTCAATTACCATTCAGGGTAAAATTGACAAGAGACTTAAGTAGGGAGCTTTTTCTTTTTTTATCCCTAAAGCACACAGTACATGAACCACTGAGGAAATGGATGGAGAAAAACACGTACCCTGCTGCATGGTGCGATCCAGTAGCCAATGGCAAGAAATGGGAGGCCCAAGGCCACAACCAGCACAACCAGACACTTGATAGCTATGGTCTGTTCCCGCAGGCCTGAGAGGTTCTCGTACCAGATTGTCAAGAGCTGCTGCTGGCAATTGGGGTGAGCCACAAACTGTGGGCAGAAAGAGACGTAGGTTACTGTACCACTGAGGACACTTCAGCTACTGAACACTTGTGCATCCTAAAGATATTAATATGCACTTTTCTGGAATATAGGCACTAGAATATGCTCCTTTTCCTTACCTCCATTTCTCAAAATTGCTTCAGAACTAGTAGAATTAAAGTTGGCAACAAGAGGGTAAAATTGATGTTGTCCTTAATTACAGTTCTTTCTGACTGAAAGTCCCTGTAATTCACAGATTCCTCTCCAGAATCTAGGTGATGTATGCTTTCCTTTGTGGAAATGTGTCCCACCCCACTGTCTGCCAGCTTACTTGCATTTGGTTCAAGATGGAAAAGAACAGTCGTTTTGTTTATTGTAGACTACAGCTAAAAGAAAAATGTGTCAAATTTCACAAGCAATCCCTAAAATGCTACATGTAGGAAAAATATACACACCACATGCCCTATGTACATGTACGTACTACCACTGCAAATCTGCAAAGATCTACAAAAAGCCAACAACTGGCAAGAACTATGCGTGGTCCACACTTGCACTGCTTCCAGGAACTGGCATCAAATGTCCCTTCCTTCCTGTTTCAGTAATCTGTCCTCTTTTTGTTGCTTCCTCTCTCACAGGTCAAAAACCATGGACATGTATCTCCAACAGTTCTTTGTAACTACACTTATAACCAGGAAAAACTGAGCAAATTATGTTATTTTAGCCCTGCTATTTTATCGTGCCATCTGGTTTTGCTAAGTCATCTGCCAACATCTATTCAGAGGGACTGGAATTTCATTAAAGGCCTGTCCTTATGCAGGTAGCAGAATGTATTTGTAGTCAGGCTCGTGTGAAAAGGCTCCTACATCAACAGATGCCCATTTGTGACTAGATATGCCTGTCTTTGAATGACCAGGTGCACTTTGCCCAAACTTGGAAATTATTTAGCGTCATTCACAAATCAACTATGAGTACCAACATATCTTTTTAAAGGGTGTTTAGCAATACAAAAATCTAAGTTTCACTCACCATCTTCTAAAAAAAAAGAATAAAAAATAACAATGAACCGTTTAGGAAGTACTCGTGAAGTGTTTGTTTGTTTATTTGGTTGGGTTTTTTTTGCAAACACGTAGCGGTAAAGAAAACAGCACCAGTCCCCAGCAGGTGAAGGGTTCATCGTTAATCAAGTTCTAGTTAATGATCCTGATGTCCTAATGATTCTTAGCAACTCTAGGCTATTCCTCAAGTTATTTGGCTATTTATTAATAACACATCTACTAGGAAATGAATAGGTTTCTATTTATTGGTGTATAGTTTCCCATTAGCTCTTCTAATTAAAAAATAATAAGAATAAAGTTAAAAAATAAAACCTCATCTCCCAGGGTAGGCAGTAGAGATGCAATTTCCCCCAAATCCCCACTTTTGCCCCTGTGTGCAAATGCCCTCTGAGAAGTCTGGTGAGAACCGCTCCGGTGACGGCTGTGCCACAGGGCGCAAAGGGTCTTGTGCTGGTAGAAGGGGAAAGGATGAGTTTACAAATATTAGGTTTCAAGTACTTAACTGAATTTATTTCAATAATACAAACTGGGAGGATTTGGGAGATTTAAAGTACTACAAAGAAGATGCTATCTTTTCTCATTTAATGAGTTCAATATGAAAAAGCATATTTTATCTTATAAGTGTCTTTCCATTCAATAGTAAAAATCCCAGCTCCTAGAGCTCACTCACTAGTCATTGCTAGTTGCTAGGTCTATATCAGATCTCCTTTCCAGACTCAAGAGCCTGCCACTCCTCCGAAGTTCTGATTTTTGATTAATATAGTTATTATTTTAACTTGTCATAAAATCCGATCAAGGCTGAAAACGCTGGGGGTTTGGTGACAACTTTCTAGGGTTCTTGTTGAGAACTCTGCTAAACTTCCACTTCTGCCCTATACTCTACCGGACCATCTTCCTCCTGCTTTACCCCTCCTCCTGGTTAAAAATTCTCATCTCCTCTGAGTTCCTACATGCCATTCATTTATTTATTCATTCACTCTTCAAAATGTCGTACACTCTTCCTGTGAGCCAGGCACTGTGTTAGGTATCTGGTAGAATAAGGTGAAAATGGAAGCATCAGTATGCATAAAGTGATACGCCTTTCCTGTTCTAGGGCACACAGTAAAGCTCTCAATAAAAAATGAAAAAAAAAAAGTGGAGAGGCACCTGGGTGGCTCAGTGGGTTAAACACCCAACTCTTGATTTAGGCTCAGGTCATGATCTTGGGATCGTCACAGGTTCCAGCCCCACACTGGGCTCCACACTTGACGGGGAGTCTGCTTGAAAGTGTCTCCCCCACTTCGGCCCCTGCCCGACCCCTGCCTCAGGCTCACTCGTTTGCTTTCTCTCAAATAAATAAATAAATCTTTAAAAAAAATGGGGAGAGTCTCCTTATGCTTGCCAAGATAAATAATCAACATTTAAAATAGTACTAGTTTGAATGTTGGTCTGAAAGTCTTGCTGTTTGGAGGGTCTGCATTTGTGAGAAGTTGGACAGATGCAAATAAAAAGCCCTCCTGTGCCTCCAGCTAGGCTCAGCTGAGGCTGGGGAACAGTGCCTTTGGAGAAATCCACAGGTGGAAGAGACAGTGTCATCAATCAGATTACCACCTGGGAAGCCAACACGCCCCCCCCCCTTTTTTTTAATAGGCTGAGGGCTTCTGCAAGATAGAAAATAGCCATGAAGTTGAGAGACAGGTGACATGGGTCCATATAGAATTGATGGACAAATTCCACTTTTGTGAGTGTCCAGCCTTTCTCTCTTAGGTTTTAACTCTTGAGGACAGAAATATTAATGTTGCAGCATGGCTCCCTCTTCTTGTTCCTCTTCTTCCAGATAATCTTCAAATCTGAAGCTATGCTTTATGGCATTAATTGGACTGTACATATAGGTTGCACAGCCCTTAAAGATGTGATAGCTATCAGTGCTTTTCATATGGCATTATGTAATGATCAATCTTTGACCCACTGTGACTTGCACAATGTAGTGCAAACACTTAATGTATGTTAAATAGTAGCCCAAATTGTGGTGTTTGCATTTTACTTGTAACACTTGAAAATCCGGCTTAACAACTATATTTCCTGTACTGTTAATTCTACTCTCTTCTTAAGTAATACACCAGCATATGGTATCTATTCATTCCTTTCAATTCATAGGAAGAAAGCACAAATGGATATTTTCTTCCAATAATTTAAAATCCTAATGCAAGCACACAAGAAACCCTAAATAAAATAAAATAAAATAAAATAAATGCAATAGTAACAAGTGAGGGAAAAAAGTTAATCCCCTTGGGAGATGAGTTCTGTTCTTTTCAAGGACTTCAAAATAGGGCAGTGATCTTTCTCTCTTAAAATTGTTTACTTCCTAAAAAGTCTCCTAGGCCGCCACACCAGTCATAGCCAGTCAGTTAAAATTTGTATGCTGCATCCTAATTTCAGTGGACCAGCAAATTGAAATCGTTACAAAAATAATGCCCTTATTTGAGGTTTTCTGATTTAAAAGGAGAATGCCTGACACACAAGAAAATCTCAATCTTTCAATGGAACAAAACTACTGTAGCACAGAGAAGAAACATTTTTTTTCCTGCCAAATGACTAACAGATTGTAAACTGAACTGCTAATCAAGACAGGTTAATGGAAAACAATGAGATAATTTTCAACTTAAAAAAACATTCACGTTACACTGTCTTATCGTCAAATCAGCCCTTACAAGAACTACCTTCATGGGACTACTGTTGTACAAAAACATGGTAGGAACACTCTGTTTTTGTTTTTAATGACATGGTTGGAGGCACAGTTCATACCATTTAAAATACTGCTATGAATAAAAGCTACGTCATTCAACTTCTTTTTAAAGCTCTTTGAGTTATGAAATATACGGAAAACTTATATTGTATAAGTTTGCGGGATTTCGAACCCAAGTGCAAAGTGTTCTGTTCTTTTTTGGTGCTGGGCAGGAAGCTGGCCAAGAGTCTGCCCAGTGTGAGACTCAGGACGGCACCAGCCAGCACATGCACTCTACCCAAGGTCTCTGTTGTATATTTGCCACTCTCACTGCATTGTTCAATTTTGGGAATTAGGGAAAGCACACCTTCTTCATACACAATAGGTAACTGTATGTACATATATTACCGCATGTCTCTTTTCTAGATATTTCTATAGTTTAATCTCACCATGGAGAAAGTAAGAGAACGAAGAGGAAGAACCCAGGAAATTTCTCCCCTTTCTCAATAGCTCAGTTTTCCACATTCGATGGTCTAGCAGCTTCTAGTGTCTTTTACATTTGTCAAGGACTTCTGAAGAATGGACGGAGCTTACTAGGAGCAGTTATTTCTATGTGGGAGAAGGGACTGATGTTCATCCTCAAGTTGCACAGAAGACAGAGGAACAGGCAGAATTAAAACTCAGAGCTTTTGGGGAGGAAGTAAATAATCTATTATTCTAACTGGAAAATAACTGATGTTTTTGCCTTAAAGTTAATCTTCTGTACTCTTTCAAAAAATCAAATTTCATCTTTCACTCTATTCCACTCTTTTTTTTTAATTTTTTTCCATTTTATTTTATTTCTTTTCAGTGTTTCAAAATTCATTGTTTATTCCATTCTTTTTTTGTAGAATAACATGGGTAACTCTACAAATAGTAATAATATTTACTATCTTTCCAGTTTTATTATTTATCTTAAAGGCACCCCAGATATGATTCTGGGATGGATAATTGAAAACATCCACTCCCTGCCAGAGAACACATTATTGTTTGTTCCTAATCAGTAGTGTAAGATTGCCCATTTCACCAACGGCATTGAGAATACTTTTTATTCTTTAAAAATTTGAGACAGGAAATATTATTTGTATATTAGGATGCATTTATTTTAGTACCAGAGGGTTTGAAAATTTTAAATATGTTTGTCAGCCATTTGAATTTTCTGTGAGTTGCTCATTCAAGCCCTCTGCTTATTTTTCTGCAAAGCTCTAGAAATTTTTCTTAAAAATTTATTTAAGCTTTTTGGACATTAAGAATATCAATCTTTTGTATGTTAGAATTGAAGAATTATACCTTTTTCACACTGCCCTTTACTTTTTTTGTTTATGATCTTTCTGTGTTCAGAAGTTTTAAATTGTAGGTTGTCAGATTGTTTACCTTTTTGTTTTGTTATTTCTTTGACTACTTTTGTATTAGAAAGTCCTTTCTCACATAAACGGAAACTCATGTTCAGATCAGGGGACCTGGGTGGCTCAGTCAGTTGGACACCTGACTCTTGATTTCAACTCAGGTCATGATCTCAGGGTCATGAGATCAAGCCCCACACAGGGCTCCATGCTGGGTGTGGAGCTTGCTTAGTGTTCTCTCTCCCACTCTCTCTCACCCTCCCCCACATGTGCACACTGGTGTACACTCTCTCTTTGTCTCTTTGTTTTAAAAAAAAAAAAAAAGTTCAGATCTCTCCTCTTCAGGTCTTTCGTATTTTCATTTTCTTGACTAACTGCCACTGAGCTCTGTAAGGCCTGGGTAGAACTCGTGGTGTGATTCCTAGGGAAGACCTGAGTTCTGGGGACTGTAAGGTCAGAGAGAAGATAGTAGTCTAAGAACCTGAGCGGGGGTACCTCTTGGGCATGTGGCAGAAGAGGCTTCCTGAATCTCTTGTGGGAAACAGCTTACCATTACACAAAACTGGTTTCCTTGGTGGAATTATGAAATGATTTGAATAAATATAAGTTTATTATGTTATCAGGAAGAAAAAAACTCTATCACATATATTTTGAAACTCCAATGCTTCGCATGTAGCCTTTCCCTCGAGCCCTCCAATTGGGGAACCCTGAGTCACACACCATGAGTCCACCTGCCACCCAGGCGGAAACGGTGCCTTTCAGAACTGCAGACTACCTTTCAGAATACCTCAGTGTCACAGTGGGTAGGGTTCACATACCACTGTAACCCAAGAAGTGGTTTCGCTTCAGGACTGGAAATGAGATGAAGGAAAAAGGAAGCACCAGAAGGGATGGGGTATCTTTCCTCCTTGCTAGATGGAGACACATGAATGTTGTGAAGAACGAAGGAAGTCTTTTGGGCTTTTTTGGGCATGCTAAAGTTTTTATATACATTGAATGAAGCTTCCAAATCAAATACTTTAACTAATACTCCTTTTATAACATAAAACAAACAAACCCACAAACGCCTGCAAAGCCCTAATCTCCTTTCAGTTTCAAATATATTATTTTGTTGTTTCCTGGCAGTTATTTGACTGATAACAAATTTATTATTAATGACACTTCATACGTTGTAAGCTATACATCTATTTATTGAAGATTAAGATGCCAGGAAGACATTCACTGTCTCAAAACAGTTTGGTTAACAGAAGTACATCTATAGATGAACTAATATGTCTCTGCTAATATGACACTTTCAAAGTAACAATAAAGAACCAGTGACAACTGAAATCAATCCTCTCCTCTCAGGCACTAAAGAAAAGAGGTGTGTATTGCAAGATCTGTGAATAAATGTCCAGACAGATTTCTAAAAATGGTTTAATATTAATCTTATTCAAAATTATCTTTTTTTCCTTTAATATAGAAAACCTTAACTAGTAAGAATGCTCTAGAGAAAGACAAGAACTATAAGATTTCACTCATACGTGCAATTTAAGAAACAAAACAAGCACAGGGGGAAAAAGAGAGAGAGAGAGAGAGAGAGGAAAACCAGGAAACAGCCTCTTAACTACAGAGAACACAGTGATGGTTACCAGTGGGCAGGAAGGTGGGAGGATGGATGAAACAGGTGATGGGGATTAAGGAGGGCACTTACGATGAGCACCAGGTGTTGTATGGAAGTGGTGAATCACTATATTGTACACCTGAAACTAACGTTACCCTGTATGTTAACAAACTGGAATTAAAAAATAAAAACTTAAAAAAAAATACTCTGAGAGGAAGGCAGTTGAGCCCATTTACTTATAAATGGTAATTCCTTGAAAAGTCATTTCACATCAGTATTTACTAAGAATCTTCACATTTCCCCCATCTTATTAAGTTGATGAAGATCTGTGATTAATAGTTGACTAAAACCTTGTGAACACTATATGTGAAAGTTCTCTGGATTGTGGTAGAATCTGTGCGGGTGTGTGCGTGTGCACATGTGCACGCATACGAGGAGAGAAGAGGAAAGAGAGGAAGTTTCCCTTACGCTCACTTGCTGGTAGGGTGCCCACACTTTCCTCTGTTCCACAGGTCAGCGGCATATGCACAGGCTTCCGTTCTGGCTCTGGCTCTGAGTAAGGTTTCCGGAGGCACAACTTAGATAAACTTGTTCATCCATCTCTAATGATTCTGTGAGTCTCCTCAGATCCCTTACTAAATTCCTTTCTGCCTAAAATGACTGTAGTCTATTACTGAGGACAGAACCCAACACAATGAACATGAAATCTGAGTTTGATGACGAAAAGCTAAAATTCATTCTGAGAATGAATTTTCATGATGTAGAAATGTTATCAGCTAATACATGTTGAATAATCCCCCTGCACTAGACCTGTGCTAATTACTTTATATGCATTAGCTCTTATAATCTTATAAACTACTGAAAAAACAGTTGCTTTTGTGGTACCTACGTCATTAACTGAGCAGACTGAGGCTTGGCCTGGCTGTGTGACTTGCCCATGGCCACCCAGGGAACAGGCGGTTAACTGAGGACTTGAACCCCTGCAGGCTGGCTCCCTGCCCTCTTAAGCACCATGCAGGGAGAAGAGAAAATTCAGCTATGCAGAGATTAACCAGTTCATGAAACTAGATCTATTCCTGAAAACAGCTTACTTCTTGGTGACTTGTCAGTTTCTCTTAGAGTACGAAAACATATCAGCTATATAACATATAAATGCTGCTAGGTTATAGATAACTGAAATTTTTACTATAGTAAAACATCATAACTATAATTTTCATGATTTACAAGCCCTATACAAGCAGCAAATATATACACTTAACAGTTTATCTGCAATAAGCAGAGTAAAAAGGTAATCATAAATTTTATTTCTGGTATCCACGGCTCTGGACCTAGACACGTTATTTAAGCTTGGCAAACCTTAGTTTCCTTGTAGATTAGAAATGCCATCATCTATTTCACCTATTTTATAGGTTAAATGGATAATAACATAGGCTTGTCACAAGGATTAACATGACAGTTGTAGCAGTGACTTACAAAAATGTATATAAGTAACATTTTATTATTTTTAATTGCATTGTAATGAGCAGTTCACAAAGTTCTTTTGTGTATCTTAATCCACTGAAACTGTATTATCTGAGATAGGAGAGATTATCTTCCATTCACATGAGGAAACTGAAGTTTAAAGAAGTTTTATGACTTATCCAAGGTCTCACAGCAGACAAAAAGTGGACAGGATTGCAGAAGCTAGATATCTGACTCACAACTTTACCATACTTTACTTAATCTCTTTCATGACAAAAAAAAAAAATCTTTGATCAATAACATCTTTATAATTAAAACATTTTCCCGGGATTATGGCATAGTTGATATTACATGTTTATTCCAATATGGTGCTGGATAAAAGCGGGCCACTCACCTTTTTCACTTCATACTTAATAGCAAGCTTGACACGACTCAGGGAAGCTTTATGCCTGTGTAGCTCTAGAGGCTCTGTGGATTCAAGATCTCCATTCAGAATAGCTTCTACTTCTTCTGAGTCCCGGCAAAGATCCAACACACCCACTACAAAGTCTTTGCATTGCATGGAGAGCTTCCGATAGTCATTCTAAGAACAAGAGTTTTAAAGTTTAATTCAAGGAATTTGCTTTAATTCAATGGAAAGTATTTAGAGTTTTTGTGAATTACAAAAAGCGGTCCCTTCTGGGTTAGAAGCTACTGTTCCTACATGGATGCAAGGCTTGCTGAGTTAGACACAAGTGGGATTTGCCCCCACTCCCGATCCCAGCCAGTACCTTCTGCAATCCACCCACTCTGAAAATGGTACGCACATTTGTTCCTGGTTTGTATTAAGAGATGTTGGCTAAATGCTAATGGGTACAGACCTGAGGACCAAAAAGAGCTGCATCTCTCATATAAACAATAGTTTCCTTAGAGCCAAAAGAAAACCATTTCTGGGGGTGCCTAGGTGGCTCAGTGGGTTGACCCTCTGCCTTCGGCTCGGGTCATGATCTCAGGGTCCTGGGATCGAGCCCCACATTGGGCTCTCTGCTCGGCGGGAAGCCTGCTTCCTCCTCTCTCTCTGCCTGCTTCTCTGCCTACTTGTGATCTCTGTCAAATAAGTAAATAATATCTTTAAAAAAAAAAAAAGAAAACCATTTCTGTAGTGCAAATTGGTTTAAATGGTAATTTTTCTGAAGTGGCGATAGAAGATTGACTATACATGAAAATAACTTGTTCAGTTTCTATTCTCCGTTGCCTTTTTGGAGACATAGCTTCTCAAAGTGTAGTCCTACAATCAGCAGCTTCAACAGCACCTGGGCTTGTATTAGAAATGTATTCTCGGATCCCATCTCAGTTGTTCCGACCTAGAAACTGAAGACAGGGCTCAGTAATCTGTAAACACACTCTCCATGTGTGTATGATACACACTTATGTTTAAGAATGACTGGTTTCTAGTGAATGAAAAGGGATGGACAGGCACCAACAGAGAGAGGAGGTATTTTTCCTTGTTTGTCTGAAGGTTATCATGTCCTGCAGAACTGGAAGGAAAGAAATGTCTGATTATATGTAATTGAATTTTCAGGGGTTACAGAATATCAATACCTGAGAGAAAATTTCCAGGCCACTGGAACTAACACCTCGCTAAAAATAATCTGTGAATCTTTAATTTCATTAGCATATTTATATAGTGCCATGGACTGGGATAAGGAAGTCATTTATCAGCCTTCCCTGTTACCTTCTGAATGGAGGTCTATTTCTAGCTCTTTGGTTCCAGTCAAGGTATCAATGACCATCTGTTGGGAAAGTATCTTACTTTCAGAAATCCCAGTTCTACTTCTACGGCTTTCACTAAAATTTTTAAGAAAGTTAACTGGATGATGGTCTGATTTGGCACACTTGAAGAAAACACAGTTCCCCATTTCAATATGGCCAGAGATACTGTACATGTCTAATAACCAAGTAATACCTAGCAGAGCAGAATTTCCAGGCTTCCTGAAATCCTACTTAAAACAAAAACATGAAGAATTTTAGTTTTTTTCTTTACTTTTTAAAAGATTTTTATTTATTTATTTGACAGACAGAGATCACAAGCAGGCAGAGAGGCAGGCAGAGAGAGAGGAAGGGAAAGCAGGCTCCCCGCTGAGCAGAGAGCCCGATGCAGGGCTTGATCCCAGGACCCTGGGACCATGACCCAAGCCAAAGGCAGAGGCCTTAACCCACTGAGCCACTCAGGCGGCCCTAACTTTTTTCTTTAAATAAATAACTGACTTGATGGCAAAAATCACGTCACCGACTAAACTAAAGAAGAAAGACTGTTTAAAGGCTACACAGTCTAGAAGAGTTTCCATTTCAGATATCAGAAATTCAGATAAGGAACAGTTACAGTTAATCCTTCTCCCCTCATAAGAGAATAGATAAAATGAATAAAAACCTCAATCTTTGGTTTTCATTCAAGCTGGTACCATGCAACTGATAAAATTAATAAAATGTTCAGCCTCTGGTTTCTATGCAGAGTGTCAGTTAAATATCCATCTGCCTTCCATTCCTGAAAGACTAATGAAATATTTTATTATAACATCCAGAAGAAGTATTAAATTCATGTCTGTTTCCATATAAAGCTCCCCTTTTAATGCAGTTTTTTTAGACGAAATTTCCTCATGTTACTCCTCAGTTCAGACTGTTCTATGAGATTTGGTACAATATAGGATGGCCATTTCTCCATTGATCAGAAAAAAAGAGACTATTTCAATGCTTGAAGAAAATGGTAGCCACCTCTGCACTTCAGGATGATACTAGCTCTACCACGAGGTCCAGCTGTATCTTATTTCATGACTTGGACCATTTGTCTGGTCTGCATTTTCTAGTAATTTTCTCTTACTTGAGTTTCGCTTAATCATCTTCATTGTGCCACGCTTCTAATACCATGGCTGTCCACGAGGTTACCACAAGGACCTGCTACCTTCCCTATAGAGCAGGAACTCAAAGCCCTGAAGACCTGCTCAAGCCAGGGGATGACACCTCGTCCTTGTCACAACCTGTCTACAGGTGTTAGCACATTTATTTTAAGGCTTATGGTTTAATCATCATTCTAATCGCTTTTTATCTGTAAGAGAAAAATTGAAATTCAGCTCTAAGGAGGCTTGGTTCGGTCAGATCCTTTCCCTGATAACAAAAATGGCAGGAGAGTATAGTGGTTAAAAGCACAAATCTAAAGCTAGACTTTCTGGGTTCAAACACTGCTTCTACCATCTATTAGCTGTCTGATCCTGTGGCATTTACTTAGCCTCTCTGATGAGAATATGCCTATATAATGTTGCTGCTATGAGGATTATATGCTTATGGCATGCTTCGTACACAACAAATACTATAGAATTACCTCAACGTTATCAGGCACAGCGCGTTAGATAGAATATCTAGACCCAGGACCCAAGATGCCTAAATCTAGGCTTAGCAGATGGGTCCTTAGCTAATAGGCTTTGTGGTCTCAGTTGTAAAATAAGAGGTCTGTACAGCCAGAGGACTCCTAGAATATCTTCCTACTTTATAAAGTGCCGTCTTGCTTTTGGATTATATTTCTTTAACTTTTCCTCGCAGCTCTACTGTGATGTAAGTTAAAAATTGCTTTTCTAATTTAAAGAGAGGAAAACTGAGACACAGGGGAGGCAAATGCCTTCTTTTAAAAAAAAAAAAAGGGGGGGGGCATCATTGACTCAGAATTGAGAAACTTCACTTTGCATTCTCACAGTTTAATAAATGAGTAGCTTTCTTACCACTGACATTTGGAGGATTAGACCTGGAGTCCATCCTGTCCAATATTCTGTTTCTCAGAATAGCTTCAGACATCATTTGTACATCCAAACTATTTCTTTAATAACCTGTCACCAGGCTGTCCTCCATTAATTTATCTAAATCTATATCCTAGAATGTTCAACCTTTGGGGGTAATGACCTTCACATGTTTTCACCATCATGCCTCCTGAATTCCTCAAGGAACTCTGAAAACTACACACTGCCTGAGAACCTTCTTGGATGCAGCTAAGGGATGGCAATTTGAGGCATGAGATGCTAATCTTACAGGCCATTGATAAGATGAAACAGGTACAGGTGTCTAAAAAGGGAAAAAAATCACTACTTTTCTACTAGGGACATCTTATTTTTTCATTTCAAGGCTAGTATTTTGAGTGCACCCTCTCTATGGAAATAATATAGCGAACACATGGAATAGGGCAAATTAGGTGACCTGTTTATCTCAGAAATGAGCTTCACTTCCACTGTCCTTTCCAAGCTCAGAGTCTCTGGGTCTGTGCTGTGAAATCACTATTTTCTCAGTCTGTCTAAAGCCCTGATGGATGGACAGGAGCGTAGGACAAGAGGGCAAAGAGATGAAAGGAAGGCAGATATGAAAGGAATAATAAGGACAGGCGAGAATAGGAAAGAAAAGAAACATTTAGTCAGGAGAGAGAGACTTGTCCTTAGAGATTGTAACTGCTGGAGAACCATCTGTGTCCCAGCTCAGAGAGGGTCATGCTATACAAGTGCTTTCCATATAGTCCAGAAAAAGGAACAGAGAGATTTAGATGACTTTTGCATATCCTTAGATACTTGGTAACTTTCTGGACTCTTAAATTCAGTTGTGTTTTCTTCTCTCTTTGCCTCTTGTAATATTTTCCCACATTTCAAAGGTTATCAGAGGTGACTCTTCAAGTCAGGGTAAAGGAGGTTCTAAGTATTATCAATCCAGATTTAGCCAGCTTCAGTGGAAAACTGAATAAGAAATTTTTTAAACTATCGCTTCACTGAGATTACTTCTCTGGGCAGAATTGCAAACATCATCATCTTTGATAAATTATTAAAGCATAATATTAGAAAATATTCCCTTTTGTAGACTCTTACAGATTTTCAATATATTATTAAGCAAATGTAAAAAAAAAGGGCTTGAATGACATTTGAAATAGTGGCAAATAAATTCAGAATTATATTACTAGGTCAAAAAAGCGATATTTAGAACTTTTTTACTTCAATGATTTTCTATACTCTCTGGACAGAATTTGAAGTTTTCAATTTGCTCAGAGACAACTCAGAGCAATGACTTAAAAATAAATAAATAAATAAATAAATAATTCATTTTGAGTCCAAGGAAATACATCTTTTCAAATATCACATGATGATTCTCTTCAAAGAGAGTAAATATAAGGTGATATTTATTTTTTCTTTGTATTTTTCCACATTTTTACAATAAATATGTGTAGCTCTTACATCAGCAAAAATTTTAATATAATAACCAAGTTATGCTACGTCCAGATCTCTATCAGGACAAGATGAAGGTTGATGAATATCTAGGTGATCTGGTGTGTAGGGGAAGGGAAACAAAAAACACGCAAAACTTTCCTGCCATTTTTTTTCATGATTTTGGTTTTTTAAAAATTTTTTAAGATTTACATAATTTTTTAAGATTTTATTTATTTATCTGACAGGCAGAGATCACAAGTAGGCAGAGAGGCAGGTAGAGAGGAGGAAGCAGGCTCCCTGCTGAACAGAGAGCCCGATGCAGGGCTCGATCCCAAGATCCTGGGATCATGACCCAAGCTGAAAGGAGAGGCTTTAACTCTCTGAGCCATGCAGGTGCCCCATGATTTTGTTTTTCAAAAGACCATTTTTCTAGAGCAGGTTTAGGTTCAAAATAAAATTAAGAGGAAGGTACATAGAGTTTCCATATATGCCCTGCCCCAAAATGTGCACATCTTCCATCATTGACATCTCTCACCAGAGTGGTACATTTCTTACAACTGATGGGCCTTCACTGACACATCATAATCATTCAAAGTCCATAGTTCACTTTAGGGTTTTCTCTTGGTGTAAATTCTATGGGTTTAGATAAATGTATAACAACATGTATCCATCATCATAATGTCATAGAATATTTTCAGTGCCCTAAAAATCCTCTGTGCTCCACTGATTTATGCCCCCACCCCCATTCACTCCTAGCAATACTGATCTTGTTACTGTCTCCATAGTTTTACCTTTCCCAGAATGTCAGATAGTTGGAATCATATAGTATGTAGCCTTTTCAGATTGGGTTCTTTCACTTAGTCATATGCATGTAAGGTTCCTCCATGTCTTTTCATGGCTTAATAGCTCATTTCATTGTTTCATACCATTTTCTTGCAACCCCTTAACCTGAATTATATTGCTAGTTGCATTTGTGCAAATCTCACTTAAGTATGTAAAACTGTAATAAGATCTGAAAGACAGAATAATCACTCTTTCTGTGATCTGACACCACAACACTAAAAAGCAGATTAACTCAGCATCGAGAAAATAATTTAAGGAATTGATGTCTACAATAATCTTCTTAGGTGGACAACAGGAGACAATAATCTGCTGAAAAGCAGTCTTTCACCAGAACCATGAAATCTCCTTTTGCCCCAGATTTAATAGGTAGAACCAACCAAAATACATAAGAGGATGTAGCAACTGAATAAAAGATAAAAATGTTCCATCATTCGTGTATAATTTTTATTAAAAAAATGCTTCTTAAAAATACTACTATTTGTGGACTAGAAATGATGTTCAGAAAAAGAAAAGTTCATTTATTAAAAAAATCCATTAAAACAAAACAATTTGCTATCCTTGTATTTCTGTGTTGACCCAATGTCTATGACTCACCACTCTGAATATACATTTGTGGATTTCAGGGAGAAGCATTTTTGTCATAATAAAATGACTTGAATTGTATTTCATGTTAGTCTTTTGACTTTCTATTTAAAGGGCTATAGAGATGTTTGGGCCAATAAACACTTCGTGCAAAGCTAAATACCCTTCTGTGTTGTGTGCCACCATACCACTAACTACAGAAGAGGCAGAAGAATTTGGGAGGCAAAAAGTCACACCTAATCCCTCCTTTAAACAAAAGGGATGGTGGTGGGAGGGACGGTCTTGCGTTCTACTTAATGCTCATCCACACAGAACAGCACCTTAACTATAGCTCTCTGATTCAGTGTACACCCAAGCCCAAAGCGAATTTATCACAGCACCATGCCGAGAGGGGGAAATCATCGAATCATTTCTGAACGACATTTCCAATCCCTCATTATTTTGAATCCGCTGGGCAAAACTGATTCCAGAGCAAACTTTGGAAGGCACCAGGCGGCAGCAGGAAAGCAGATGAGCGTGCAGGGTAGCCGGGGTGGAGCGCGGAGCTTACCTTGAACTCCTTCTCTATGTTGGCTAGCTTGGCCAGCTCGTTGCTGAGCTCCAGGGCGGTGAGCACCGGGTCCTCACTAGACAAGGACAGGTACGCGGGGCTTGCCAGCCCCTTGTAGGCATTGATCCTCGAGCGTGAGTGGCTGAAAGAGTCGTGCCTCTGCTTCTCCATGCAGTCTCCGCACTTGCAGAAATAGTCGTGCGGCCGCTCGATCCTGGCGCCCTTCATCAGCAGCATGTGGACCACCTCGTACTTCTGGCAGTGCGCCGCCAGGATGATGGGCGTGATGTCGGGCGAGAAGCGCGTGCCGTCCTCGTCGTAGGCGTAAAAGTCGTCGTCCTGGAGCTCCTGCTCACAAGGACTCAGGGTCAGGCGCTTGCTGGCCGCGAAGCCAGGGTGGTTCAGGATGGCTTCCACGATGCGCACGTAGCCCTTGCTGATGGCAAGCAGCAGGGCATCGCCGATTCGCGCCAGGTTCTCCTTCTTGAGCAGCAGCTCCGTCACCTCCAGGTGCTCGTTGCCGACGGCCAGCTGCAGCGCGTTCTGGCCCATGTAGTCCACGCAGTTGACGTTCAGCGTCTTGGACTCCTCCAGCATCTTGCGCACCACAGGGATGTTGCCATACTCCGCAGCGTCCAGGAAGCGCTCCTCCTCGGCGGTAAGGCTCGTGCCCCGGTCATTAAACATGAAAGCCGGGCCTCGTACCGCCTGGCGCCGGCCCTTCTCCCGCATCACCGTCTTGCGCCTGAGGGATGGGCTTCCCTCCGTGGACCTAATCAGCAGCAATGAAAAGCAACTGTAGACTATTAGGGCTTATTGCTTCCTCCCACAGATCCAGCCCTTTCTAAGTAGGCAACACCTACAGCTGACCTGCGGGCCCGCGGGCAGCTGGGTCAGTTGCTAAACAAGGCAACTGAAATTAACACCTGTACCTAATATGGGCTGCTTGGGCCCAGAGAGGGGCCTACAGCCTATCAGAACGAGGGTTCCTGTTCAAAAGAAAATGGCATTTGGAAGAAATAATAATATAAACAATGTCCAGACATCCATGCTTCCCTTGTGGCTCTGGTAAAGATGGAACTCACTGGACCTCGTATAAATAACCATACTAGTCTTAAAAGTCTTGAAAATAGAGGTCTAGCAGGTTCTTGGCACCAAAGCACTAGGATTTGAGGCTAAAGAAAGCAAATTTTTCAAGAATTAGGACAGAAGAATCCTCTCAAGTCATTGCTTATTTTTACCTAAGTAAAATAATTGATGGGGGCAGGGGAGGGGAGCTTAGGATTTAGGCCAAGGATCTTTCAGGATCTTACCTATGTTATCTTTTTCTCTTAAGGGTATCTTGCCTCTGCCCCCCCCCCCCCCCCCCAAAAACCTAACTTGCTTTGTTGAAAATAACTGTGACTTTGTAATGAGTTGTTTAATTACCAATATTATATAATTGCCTCTTTGAAGTAAAACGATATAGAATGATTTATGGTTTAAAAATCACTACTTATTGGGGCACCTGGGTGGCTCAGTCAGCTAAGCCTCTGACTCTTGATTTTAGCTCAGGTCATGACCTCAGGGTTGTGAGATCAAGCCCGAAGCCTCACATCCAGCTTCACACTAGGCAAGGAGGCTGCTTAAGATTCTCTCTCTCTCCCTTTCTCTCTCCCTTACCCTCTGCCCCTACCCAACCCCCTCCCCATCTCTCTTAAAAAAAAAAAATCATGGGGCGCCTGGGTGGCTCAGTGGGTTAAGCCACTGCCTTCGGCTCAGGTCATGATCCCAGGTCCTGGGTTCAAGCCCCACATCGGGCTTTCTGCTCGGCAGGGAGCCTGCTTCCTCCTCTCTCTCTGCCTGCCTCTCTGCCTACTTGTGATTTCTCTCTGTCAAATAAATAAATAAAATCTTAAAAAAAAAAAAAAATCTCTACTATTATTTTATCAACAAAGCAACTGTACACTAATTGTAATATCCAAAACAATGTACCTAATATCTACCACATTCATTGAGATTTTGCTGCATTATGAAAGTGATGTCATTAAATTGATGTGTACAGTGATTCAGGTTCACATTTTAATTTCTATGATGGTGAGTAAATTTACTTCTTTGGACTTCTTTACCCCAGATGTAAAATGGAAATTTACAAAATGCTCCAGAGTTTCCTCATTAGCACATTGAACAAAAAGCTTTTTTAGAAGTTCTGAGTCTCTGAAAAATGATGCTAAATAAACAACATAATTTTTAACACTGTGATTACTTTTTTTAACATTGTGATTACTTTTACTATTTAAATGGCTGTTATTATAAATACAAATCTGCATCTTCACCCTTAGCCAGTTCTAACATTCTTGCTGACTGAAATGCTCAAGATAAGCTCCTTTAAAATATCTGTGATTTTTGTTTTCTGTGAGTTGCAACCAAAAATACCAGATAAAGCTCTTTTTACATTACCGACTTTTGAAGCAAATAATAGTGGCAAGTTAAAAGTGAATGGCTGAGGGAGAAAAATGCTTTCTTTCTGTAATATATATTCCAGAAATACTTTCCACCATTGATAAAACAATATTCATAGAGTCAGGGGCTGAAAACTAGCTAAAGGGGACACTGTTCCTCTCCCTGGGGGCATGGGAGCAGAAGAAATCAGAGAGAGTTACCAGCCCCCGCTCCATTCTCACCTCTGTTGATCTCAAACCAAGAGAGGAGTGCAGAAGGCTTCCCATATGGAGACCAAGGGAATGTGGCCAGGCAAACCTAGGTCTTCAGAGGTGATAACCAAAGAGTTCCAGAGAGGCATGTTAACTCCAAGGACAACAGTGCTAGCCTGGCACCCCATTCTAGCTGCTCAACTAGTGTCAGGTGGTCAACTTTTTAAAATTAAATAAATGTGGCATTTATATATATATACATCTTTATATATGTACATAAATATGCACACCCATGTATGCACAGACATACCTATGCATTTGTAGCAATTTCCAGAAAGCAACACAAGAGGCTTTTAATTATAGTTATACTGGGCTCTAAGCAGTAGAACTTAGGAGCCATAGAAGGGAGATTTTTGCTCTTCACTTATATCCTTTTGCATATTTTGAATACTTTTAACCACAGTTTGAATATTTTTATTAAAAATAAAATGCATCATAGGTGCCTGGGTGGTTCAGTGGGTTAAGTGTCTGCCTTCAGCTCAAATCATGATCTCAGGGTCCTGGGATCGAGCCCACATTGGGCTCCCTGCTTAGTGGGAAGTCTGCTTCTCCCTCTGCCTGCCCTTCCCCCCTGTTTGTGCACGCTTTCACTCTCAAATAAATAAAATCTTTTAAAAAGTAAAAAATAAACACAGTAGAGAGCCCAGATATGAACCTTCAACTTTATGGTCAAATAATCTTCGACAAAGCAGGAAAAAAATATACAGTGGAAAATAGACAGTCTCATCAATAAATGGTACTGGGTAAATTGGACAGCTATGTGTAGAAGAATGAAACTTGACCATTCTCTTACACCATACACAAGGATGAACTTGAAATGAACAAAAGACCTCAATGTGAGGCAAGAATCCATCAGAATCCTAGAGGAGAACATAGGCAGTAACCTCTTCAACATCGGCCACAGCAACTTCTTTCAAGATATGTCTCCAACGGCAAAGGAAACAAAAGCAAAAATGAACTTTTGGGACTTCATCAAGATCAAAAGCTTCTGCACAGCAAAGGAAACAGTCAACAAAACAAAGAGGCAACCCACGGAATGGGAGAAGATATTTGCAAATGACACTACAGACAAAGGGCTGATATCCAAGATCTATAAAGAACTCCTCAAACTCAACACAAACAAAACAATCATATCAAAAAATGGACAGAAGACATGAACAGACACTTCTCCAAAGAAGACATACAAATGCTAACAGACACATGAAAAATTGTTCATCATCACTAGCCATCAGGGAGATTCAAATCAAAACCACATTGAGATACCACCTTACACCAGTTAGAATGGCCAAAATTAACAAGACAGGAAACAACAAGTGTTGGAGAGGATGTGGAGAAATGGGAACTCTCCCATACTGTTGGTGGGAATGCAAGTTGGTACAGCCACTTTGGAAAACAATGTGGAGATTCCTTAAGAAATTAAAAATAGAGCTACCCTATGACCCTGCAATTGCACTATTGGGTATTTACCCCAAAGATACAGACGTAGTGAAAAGAAGGGCCATATACACCCCAATGTTCATAGCAGCAATGGCCATAGTCGCCAAACTGTGGAAAGAACCAAGATGCCCTTCAACGGACGAATGGATAAAGAAGATATGGTCCATATATACAATGGAGTATTATGCCTCCATCAGAAAGGATGAACACCCAACTTTTGTATCAACATGGACAGGACTGGAAGAGATTATGCTGAGTGAATTAAGTCAAGCAGAGAGAGTCAATTATCATATGGTTTCACTTATTTGTGGAGCATAAGGAATAACATGGAGGATATGGGAAGATGGAGAGGAGAAGTGAGTTGGGGGAAATTAGAGGGGGAGACGAACCATGAGAGACTGTGGACTCTGAGAAACAAACTGAGGGTTTTTGAGAGGAGGGGGTGGGAATTTGGGTGAGCCTGGTGGTGGGTATTATGGAGGGCATGTATTGTATGGAGCACTGGGTGTGGTGCATAAACAATGAATCCTGGAACACTGAAAAGAAATTTTTAAAAATAAAAAATTAAAATAAAAAAGTAAAAATAAATAAGAATAAAATTCATGTTTTTAATGCTTATATATTTTAATCCCTTAGTTGACAAAATATTTTTTTTTTTAGATTTTATTTATTTATTTGTCAGAGAGAGAGCACAAGCAGGCAAAGCGGCAGGCAGAGGCAGAGAGAGAAGCAGGCTCCCCCCTGAGCAAGGAGCCTGATGCGGGACTTGATCCCAGGACCCTGGGATCATGACCTGAGCCGAAGGCAGCGGCTACACCAACTGAGCCACCCAGGCGCCCCGACAAAAGTTTTTAAATATGGGTGCTTATTGGCAACCATTACATTATAATCTTTCTGAAACTAATGAAATGCCCTATCAGTGTAGAATGGATATATGTTGTGTAGGGTAGCATGCTGAGTGAGGTGTGTGGAGTGTATGGTGAATGTGGGAGACACAGAGGTGCAAGACTGGATTGGGGCTGTGGTGTGTTGTGTGTGTGTGTGTGTGTGTGTGTGTGTGTGAGTGTGTGTGTGTTGGTATGAGGATGACTTTTAGGTGGACAAGAACTGGGAAATAGCATTCACTGAACTGCATCAAAGAAAGCTTTGTTTCAAGACCAAACTCTATTATAAGGTTTTATTTTTTTAATATTTTATTTATTTATTTATTTGAGAGAGAGCATGAGAGGGGAGAAGGTCAGAGGGAGCAGACTCCCCATGGAGCAGAGAGCCGGATGCGGGACTAGATCCCAGGACTCTGGGATCATGACCTGAGCTGAAAGCAGTGGCTTAACCAACTGAGCCACCTAGGCGCCCCCTATTACAAGGTTTTAAACAAATCTGATAAATACTGTTACTGTGGCAGGGGAGTATGTTTTTTTACTCCGAATGGTACTGACTTACTGGGTTCATATTTTTACTATGAAGCTACAAATTGGAACTCCTCATATGGCTAGAATTTCCATATGGCATAAAAGATGAATTTTGTGCTTACCAATGATACTAACATTTTCTATAACTGCAGAAGATATTTGCAGAGTATATATGTTTGAAGAGTTCCAGTCTATACTCAAATACATTATCTTGGGGGAAATAAACTCAT